AATAACTTTAGATATTAGTATCAAATAGAATAAAATGAAAAAATAATTCTTTTATTTCACACTTTTCGTGATCTCACACTTGCATTATAAATATCCCATGCATAAAATTCATCTCTTAAAACATCTTTCACATAACAATGTTTCTACCTATAATCCGATCAAGAATGTCGCACGTCAGAAAATCCTTTAAACGTAGTGATTGATGATCTCCTATCACCTTTTTGGTACATGATGGGCCGATAGCTATTTCTATTAATAATAAGGCAGATTGTGATAAACATGCGGAAGAGTCAATGAAAATATTCACGTTTGTTCGTGGCAACGGTTGAATAGAAATTGGTTTGAAATTTTTACAGCGAGGTGGAAGTGTTTGTAATTTTATATTCAATGACATAGTCTTTTCAAAGGTATAAAAAGGAAATTTCACTTGCTTTCTTCGTTGACTTGAACTTACGTTTCTTCTTGTGTTGTAAATTATTATCACGTAAAAAAAAAGTTATCCTACCTATTAGTTAGTAACGCGAGAAACTCTTGAATATTTAGTTTTCACTTTAAATAGAGTACTTTAATCTAATAAACAAATCAAATAAGTTAATGGCAATTTCAAAACCGAAGGTAACTATATACATATCAAATTCTTGTACTCATCTCATTCTTGCATCAGCATGAATTCCAATTCGCCATTATCTATTGTATTGATAATTTTAATAGCTAGATTTGCAATGCACATTACTCCCTGGCAAGTTATAAAATCTTGTGAATAGTAAGAAAAAAGAAGCTACCTTATTGAATGTTGATCCTAAAGAAATATTAAGTCATAATTATAAAAGGCTCTAAAGTAGTGGTTTTCCTCAACGTCGTAAAGAAATTTTAGTTAGCTGTATGTATTTCGATAGAACCCAAAAATAGTAAGCTAAAGGCAATTATTAAAATATAATATACATACATAATAGTGTTATAACAAATAAGTGAACGGTTAAACATAGCAAATGTAGTTAATACGAAAGATATCTTTTCACTTCAATAAGGATTCAGTTGAGTTCCAAGCTTCTAAACCGTTAATAGAAGTATTGTGTTCAATATAAAGCTTCCCTTGATAATAAAATTCATTATTCATATAAATTGGCATTTTTATTGTCTCTGTGATTTTTGATAATGAACAAACAAGAGTTATGTATTTTGATAATCCAGCCCTTATATAAAATTGATTAAACTTTTGATAATGTAATAACATTGTTGAAAAAGTCAGATCCCATGATAAGTTGCAATCCTGTAACACATTACCCAGAATTATAAATTCAAGAATACATATGTACGTATATATATACATACTTAAATAGATATTGGTGTTATTGAAATATAGAGCAGAAAAAAAAACTACCTAAAAATTAAAGGAAAATTACACTTAATCCCTAATATAGCCACAATAGGGCCAACACAAACTAATCTTTTATATACACGTACCTCGATTGAAGCATTTTATTTGGGGCTTCAAGTCTTGCTCTTATTATATATAAAAAACACTATCATAGCTATACAGCATTATCACTTTTTCAATAATTGAATG